CCTGCAAGATTACATTGAGTTAGTCAACAAACTGCAGCGTCATACTAGATGTAATCCTGCGTATTGTCTTCGTGTGGATCGCGCAGGTAAAAATATTTGCAGATTTGGTTATCCAAAAGAGATCACTAATGACACGTACTTACGAGATAATAAAGGACAACCTGAGTTAATAACGGCAAGAAACGATGAGTATGTCAACCCTCATGATCGATTGCAACTCCAAGGTTGGCGAGCGAACGTTGATTTAAAACCGATACTCAGCATGAATACGGCTTTACAGTACGTGTCAAAGTACGCCAGCAAATCGGAACCACGCTCAGCCGCTTTTTCTGAGATCTTGAACAAGATTCTCAACGAAAATGCTCCTGATGCTTCGTCTTTGCCTGTTTTCCAAGGTTTATTACTCCATACTGTCGCTGAACGTGATATTTCGGCACAGGAAACTTGCCATCTGCTGCTCAGTATTCCTTTATATCATTCAAGTCGCCGGTTTGTCACTTTAAACCTTAACAAATTAACGCATCGATGGCTTTGTGGAACGGGAGACAACAACGAAGAATCATTTTTGGCCGATAGTGAAGTTGGCCAAACAGTACAGTCTCCTTTGCAAAAGTACTGGGTTTGTCCTGCTGAACTTGATGATGTTTCACTTTTCCGGCTTCACCTACAATATAACTTTTGGAAAGGTCAGTGGAAACCATGTAAAAAAGAAAATATAGTTCGTATTTGGCCACGACCTTCACCTCAGATTGATGGACCTCAATGGGAAGAATTTTGCCGTGTAAAAGTTCTTCTTCATGTGTGCCATCGTGACCTTTCCCAATTAACCGAAAACAATACTATATCATGGTCAGAACTCTATTATCGCCATCGTGAGATAATTGAAAACGATCCTGTTGACATACTTGGTCCTCCAGTAGATAACTTAGAGAACGAATCAAATGATGAAGATAGTGATTACGAATACGAGGAATTTGATGATGATGAAGAACAGCGGCCTGACTGGATGATCTTATCAGAAATGAGACCGGACGCGATTTTAGAAGGTTCTTCTGAATTGGGTTTACGTGAGATTGATAGAAATTATGACTGGGTTGGCGATGTTAGACAGCGTTATACCAATATTGATCTTGCTGATTCTCCCAATTTCATACAAAATGCTCGTAATTTGTATGTTGAACAGAATGATAATGTCACTGATCGTGTTGTAGACCCCCATACATTAAATGAAAAACAAAAAATAATCTTTGAGCGAGTTGAATCTCATTATCAAGCATTAATATTGAATCCTGGTAACGTTGACGCGCTCAATGTTATTGTAATGGGAACTGCAGGCACTGGAAAGTCGTATTTAATTAATATGATTCGATCTCGTTTGCAAGAAATTGCAAGAAATAACAATATAACTGAGCATTCACCTGTTTTAGTGCTTGCGCCAACCGGAGTAGCGGCCTTCAACATTCGCGGCATAACAATACATTCAGCGCTTTCAATTCCTATATCCAACAATAAGCTAGATCTAAATGGTGAACGCCTGAAAAAGTTACAGAAAAAATTAGAAGGCGTAGAATATTTAATTATAGATGAAAAAAGTATGGTAGGGCGTCGTATGCTTGCCTTAATCGACATGAGATTACGCCAAGCTTTCCCTCAGAAACAAAATAAAGTCTTTGGTGGACGCTCAATAATATTGGTTGGAGATTTTGGCCAGCTTCCGCCGGTACGTGATGAACCAATGTACTCAAAAATTTCTCGAGATACATTGTCAAATGAAGGTATCAAGACATATAGACAGTTCCGTGAAGTTTATAAGCTCGATGTTATTCAACGTCAGTCAGGTGATTCGGATGTACAGCGCAAGTTTAGAGCCATATTATTGCGAATGCGTGATGGTGAATCAACACTAGATGACTGGAAAGAACTTACTACTCAATTCAGCAACGGAACAAATATTACATCAGCAGAATTCTCAGATGCCATATGTATCATGTATCGGAAGTCCGATGTTGCTGAATTTAATGTTAATAAGCTTAAATCGTTAAATTGTCCTGTTGCTCTAATCAAAGCTATCCATACAGGAGGTAAAGAGACGAGTAAAGCTGATCCTGAGCTGGCAAAAGGACTTGAGGCTCAATTATTATTGGCAAGAGGAGCAAGAGTTATGCTTAGGATTAACTTATGGACAGAAGTTGGTTTGGTCAATGGATCGTTGGGTACTGTCCAAGAAATCATATTCGAAGAAAACCAGTCCCCTCCTTCACTTCCTATTGCTGTTCTTATAGAATTTGACAATTATTATGGGCCGGCTATTGTTACTGAAGAAGGTAAAAGGCTTGTGCCGGTTTCACCAATTAGATACAGTTGGGAGGGGAAAAAAGTAACTTGCTCACGCTTGCAAGTACCTATTTGCATTGCGTGGGCTATTACTATTCATAAAAGTCAGGGTTTAACTTTACAAAAAGCGGTGATAGATATTGGAAAAAAGGAGTATGCAGCTGGACAATCATTCGTGGCTATTTCACGAGTCTGTGCTCTTAAAGATATTCTCTTTAGCCCATTTTCCTTTGAAAGACTCCAGCGCATCAAATCTCTCAAAAGATTAGAAGAAAGAATAGAAGAAGAATCAAGGTTAATGACTCTTCAAAATTCACATTAATAATTATTTTTTTTTTTTGACAATCATGGGAATAAATTGAAAATTTGCAACGTAATACAAAGTATGATAATAAAATGACATTTTTTAGTGATACAATTACTTTAGTGTTACATTTTTTTACTACATTTTTAGTGTTACATTTTTAGTGTTACATTATTAGTATTACATTTTATAGTTTAAATTTATGAACATGTGATTTATGACGCTTCGGACGCACTAACGGTTACCGTTTCCTAGTCTTTAATGCTAATACCGCACCGCTTTTCTTCCTTTATTTGTAACTCGTTTCTTGGTTCCCAAATAAGCACTTTGAATTCTAATAGAACTCTACCAATTATTTGTTTCAGTACCTTATACAACAATTTTTTTTCAGTTATTTTATAGCACCTTAATAATTCCATTAACTGACAACTAATTTGATTCTTCATTAAAAATGTAAAATCATATAAGCGTCCAATATCCCACATACCAAGCTCATTAATTTTAATTTTTAATTCGTGTATATCTATATCATCTCTTGAGTATTCTTGTATGATTTTAACTAAGAAAATTTTTAATTGTCTACATGTTATAAATAACGTGCATGTATGATTCTTTCTTTATTAAAAAAGCTGTATGTACATACTATCGAATACAGAATGATGAACACATATATAATTAATTCTTTAAAACAACTAAAAGAAGTCTATATATTTTTCTTTCAAATAAAATTTGCCATATATAAATATAATCAAATATAGAATGATGTGAAACTAAAAATAAATTCAATAGACAATCTGTCTATATATTTTTCTTTCTAACCAAATAGCCTTATGTAAATATTATCAGATAAGGAATGATTTAAAATCCAAAAATAATTATTCATTTTTTCCCTTTTGATAATTTGTTTCTTCATAATTAATCATCTCACAAAAAAAAATAGAAAAACAAAACAAGAATAACTAATTACATATTCATACCATCTTAACACCACGAGGCGCTCTTTATCTTACGAGCTCTTATATCACACTAATCAATAACATAATAATGAGACAAATTAACAAGTCTCTTTCTTTTCATTCCATTATGATATATCGTCAACCCTCCATAAAATTCAGGCCTGGTAATAGGTGTTTGTTTACGTAGTATTTCTTGCCAGGGAAGCACGTTATCCTGTTCTCTAATTTCTAGCTCTTGAAAACTTGTGGTAATATCATTGATCATAATATTCTTAACGACACCGGTCGATTGTTCAGCCACTTTAATATCTTCACATTCGAAAGTAACTTCTTTTTTCTTTCTTAATTTAAGAAAATATTCACTGTTGAAGGAATGGTTAATAAAAATATCGTCTTTCAACATGTTGTACGCTAATCTACTTGTAACTTAGTCAAACAGAAACTCCAGTTCCTTGTTTGATATATAATGTTTCTTAAGAATATCACCTCTTCGTTTCAGTCAATGTTTAGAAATTACTGGCTTTGACTCAAATCTATTATTAGTGTAATTCCATTTATTCTTATGAGTTTTGAGGCTATTCTTAAACCTCTTTTTATATTTTTCTTGTTCTTTCATCGTTTTGAACTGTTTGTTAATACCCAAATTTGAGTATGTAACTAAATAGTTACCTGTGCCACTATGCATTGAAACCTTTTTTGTATAAGTAACGCCTATGCGTTTACTTACTATTTGTTTACTTTGACAATAATTTTTAAATGTATCTTGCGGCGGAGGTGTAGGAGTTACTATCACCTTCGAACGACAATTTTGACAAACTTTTCTATTTCTTGACATTACGTAAGCACAAACGTTACTACAAAATAAACATGGAATATAAAACCCCAAATACCATGTTCGTCTACCATGACTAAATTTAATATAAGTTGTAGTTTGTCTGTTCTTTTTTTGTTTCTTCAATCTATTTTCAATAACTACAAGTTTATCCAATAATAATTGACGTATTCTTAAAAAATACTTGTTTCTAGTTTCTATGTCAATAGGTAACCCACAAAATACACTCGTCAAGTATTTTGAAATCCTGTATTTAGTATTCATCATAGGCTGATCTGAATTAATCAAATAAGGCTTATCATATTTCTTTGTTATATGTTTATTATTGGTAATAATCGTCAACATATCTTTCTCTTTCTGTAATGAATCCACATGCAAAAGGATATAGAACTTTCCTTTTCTGGTGGAATATAACGTATCAGCCCCCGTGTACCATTTCACTTTTTCTGGATGGAAAAAATTATAGCCGATAAAAATTTCTTTATTCGGTATCTTTAATCTGATTGGTGCACTGTATTTACGCCTTCTTTTGAAAAAATATCGCAAGAAAACAAAATTTTTATCTCTTTAAAGGACTATTAAGCCCTTGTGAACTTGTTCGAACTGAAAAGAGTGATAATAAAAAGTGTGTTATTTCAACCAAGAAACACTTTTGTCTTAATACTGAAGTGCTATTTTTCTAGTAATTAACGAGAAAAAAGCGTAATATTTCTTGTATAAAAAATGGACGTGAACGGTACAGGAGATCAAATTATTAATATTATAATTTATTATGTCTTTATTTTTAATACAACTTTCTTTATCTGTATAACTGTATTTATATTTTTATCATCCATATAGTTATCATCAATATATGAAACTCAAAAAAAAATTTTAATTTTACTTTATATGCTAATTATGTTTTTTTTACTGAAATAAATGCAAATTTAATTTTAATTCAATTTTTGATATTTTTTGAGTTTCGTACCTTTCTATTGCAAAAATCCCATATATTTCTATTAATTAAATCAATAGTAAAATTTTCTATTTTATCATTATTTTAATTAATATTATCTATTTCAACTAAAGCTTTGGTAATTCTTTTATTTAATTCAATTTCATTTAATTTTTATTTATATTTACTTTGTTTACCATAAAATTTAAATTTCTTTTCAATATTAAACTTTCAGTAGATGATTATTTTAAATATGGATCAAGTTTTTCAATACTCTCTTATAAGTTATAACTAGTAGAATTTGGATAAATTAAAAAAGGTGATAAATAATATAGCAAAACAGTTTAAACAATTTCAATTTTGACAATTATCTAAACTGCTAAGTTTCACTATAATCTTACTGAAACTAAAATAAAAAATTACTTGAGTAAGAAATAAATTTTTTTTTAAAATAAATAAAGTTATTTAAAATAATTATATATATATAAATTATCCAATTTATTTTATTTAAATAAATAATATAAAAGATTTTTATTTAAAATAAATTAATTATATTATATTAAAATTTATAATAATACAGTCAAACCTCTATGTACTGATGAGGTTGTTTTAGGAAAAAAATATCAGTATATTGAATTATCAGTACACAATTACTGTATATCATATTATAAATCACGTCTATTATTAGATTAGTAGACAGTCAGAGTGTCAGACTTTGATATTGATACTTCTAATTAGAAAAAATATTAATACATTAAATATATTACGAATAACTCATAATACGAAGCAAATGCCACTAATTTATAGGCCAAAATAATCAAATTTTAGCAAAATAACCATAAAAAAGTTCTTTACTTAGATATGCTAGCCTAAATTAATACTAATGTAACTAAAATATCGGTATATCTTAATATATGTTATTATAAAAGGACTAAGAAAAAGTATCAGTATATGTTACATTCATAAATATATGATATGAAGTAATCTAATAAAATAATTATCAAATCTTTTTCTATACTTTTTTTAATTTTCTTATAATAAAATAGCAAAATGTAGCTGGCGATCCAGGTTGCCATAGCGACCCCTATAATAAATCATATAATTTTGTATTACACATGTATATTTATGACATCATGCATATGATAGATCGTGAATTATCACATATTATTATACAAGTACATATTTATAATAATCACGTGCATGAGCATCATATTACCAAATACCAATAACTAATTTTTTTTTTCACTTTCATTTATTCATGTTTATTCAGAATAAATAACCTGTATTTCTTAACTAAAATACATATTTTACCTTGATTTTTTGACAATAAACTGCTTGTTTACTTCTTTTAAAATTAATTACACATCCTTTACCTTTGTTTTTTAACTTATAATTGTGTATTATGGAAAAAAACATTCAAGACGTTGAATTAGAAGCTTTGTTGGAATATAATAGTGCAGAAGAATTTTCTGATACTGACAGGTTAAATAATAGAGATTTTTTTAAGTAGTTAGAATATATCTATATTAGCTATGCCTTTTGTTAATATAGTTTAAATAGCATATTCAATAATGAATATAAAAATTGAAGATATTGCTGAAAGGGAGGAAGAGGAAGAAGAGGGGAATGAGGAGGATACTATGAAGCTTTATGTTGGTAAGACCTTTCATAATTGGGATTATGTAGTAAATTTTATGAAAAAATATGCTATTACCAAAGGCCATGGAGTAAGAATTGGTGGAGAAGGAAAGGTAGATAAAATAACACAAGAAATAACAAACAAACATACTTGTATCACCATGCTGAAAAAGCTAAGTCCAAATCATCGAAAAGACAAACTTCAGTTGAATGTCCATAGAGAGTAAATATTTGGGTAAAAAAAAGTAAAGGTTGTCTTGAGGTCACAACTTTACATAATCAACATGTCGGTCATGAGCTTCATCTATTAGCAATTAAATTTGTCCCTACATTATGAAAATTATCAGATGAGATTATGGAAGAAATTCGCTTTTTAACAATTGTTACTAAAGCAGATATAACTATACAATATCAAATTATTAGAGAAAAATTTAAAATTAGAATACATAGACCAGATCTTTATAATGCTATTAGTAAATTTTATCTTGAATTAACACCAGGTGAAGCAGATGTGAAAATCTTGCTAAAAAGACTTTACAAAAAAAAAATAGAAGATTATCAATGGGTAGTCTCAATGAAATTAGATCCTATTACTTCTTCATTAACTCATTTTTTTTGGATGAGTCTAGAATAACAAATATTATAGTTACGTTATCATGATGTGATAATGCATGATAATATTTGTAAAACTAACCATTATAATCAACCATTATCCATTTTTGTTATACCTGATAATAATTTGAAAAGCAAAGGCAATTGTTGATGATGAGACATAATTCTCATATGAATGGGTTTTTCAATATGTAAAAGAGGCTACTGGTATATTATTAATAAAGGTTTTTGTTACAGATAGTAATCTAGCAATTAGTGGTGCTATTGCAACACTATTTTCTGATACTTTTTATATGCATTATATTTGGCATATAGGCTAAAACTTGCCAAAGCAATTAAAGTGAAAGCTTGGATCTAAAATTGATAATTTTATGAAGGACTTTTACATGACAAAAAACAGTTTAACAGAAAAACAGTTTAATGAAAGATATACTTATTGTGTTAAATTTTTTTACAAATTTTCTATTATACTTACAATTTTGCCATTCCCACCATTGTTTTTTTATTGTAATTCCATTAACCTTTTCATTGTAATCATTAGACTTTATCATTTTTTAATTAGATTCTATCATTAATTTTTTTATTGTAATCACTAGACTCTATCATTGTTTCATTAGACTCCATTATTTTTTTATCATAGTCTATTCAAATTTTTCCATTGTTTTATATTATCTATATATTGTAGAATTTTGTTTATTGTGCTTTGAAATTAAATAAATTTAATTGTTCATTTGTTTATTGTTTTTAATAGAAAGTATATTGTAATTAATTTATGTATTTGTTTATTCAATAAAAGGTAGAAAATATTACTATAGAATTACCACAAGCTAAAGATTATTTGATAAGGTCTTTAGGATGTAATTTTCAATCATGGGCACGAGCTTTTACTAGCAAATATTTTACTGCTGGTTAAAGTTGCCTACCCAAACCTCTCCAAAATTCTATGATTAGTTTCTCCAAGATTTTACTATAGTTTTATTATAGTTTTGGTAAGGGTTTGGCAGTTTTGGCAGTTTCAGCATTTATAATAAGTTTCGTCAGGTTTCACTTTTCTCCAGAGTTTCGCAACTTTTTAATAAGACTTTCATATAGTTTCAGCAAAGTTTCGCTATTTCGGCATTTTGCCAACTTGCCAAAACCCCCTAGTTTCTCCAGCAACCTTACTGCTGGTGCACAAACAACTTCTCGCAATGAAGGTAAAAATTCAGTATTAAAACGGCTTTTTGGAAATTCAAACCTTTCATTATATGAATTATTTGATGCATTAGAAGAAAAATATCAAGAAGAAGTTGACTATTGCGAATTCATAAATTGGCATTAAACTATACCTCAAATCAGACTTCAAAATATATCAACATCTATTTTTGGACCAATAACACAGTAACTAAATGAATTTGTAATGCCAAATATTATGAAGAAGCAGAAGGAACAAATGGAACTAAGTCTTTATTATCATGCTGTGAAAATTGAACTTGAAGTTTTGCATTCTAAGGAAATAGTAAGACTTACGCTATTAATTTTAGCTTAATTTGTTTTCTAATTGCAATAATTTTTAAAAAATAATTTATTAACTCCTACTTAGATACTTGATGAGTCAAATCATCAATGTATTAATAACCTATTTGATTGCCCATAAGTACAAATAAGTTTATTTTTAGAAGATACCTTATTGATTTTTGAAGTATGGGAGGTTGTATATTTAACAAGCCAAAAGACATCCCACTTTGTATGTCTTTTGAATAATAGTATCTTTCTCTGCACGTGTATGATCAACAAGACTCATGATTATCTATGTCACTATTTTTACCGTGTAATAATCCTTACATCTACTACTAGATTTCATATTGGTTTGATAAACCAACGTTGGTATAAAGATATATTTCAAGAGACTAACATATTAAATAAAGAATTTGTTGCCATTTCTTCAATAAAAATATCAGCATTAAAGATACATTCTCTGCCAATACAATTTTTGAATTCAAATGGATCTGCTATTCAAGTTGAAGCTTCGGCAATAAATACTGAAATAACTAAATCTATATCAAAAAAACGTAAGTTTGGAAAACTTTGGATTTAGAAAGAAAGTAATGGTTGATGTAATTGAAAACAACAATGAGGATACTTACTGAGAACTTTGTGAGGTTTTTCTATCAATTCAAAAAAAATTACAGCCAAAAATTGTTGTTGATAATAGTAATGGTAGTATTAGTATAAACAGTAATAATAACGGCAAAAGTGATAATATCATAAATATTTGAAATCCTGTTGAAAGAAGGCCAAAAGTTTGTCCTAAATCAAATAAGAGAATGAAAAATACTTTAGAGTTATTTAATACTAAAACTCAATACACATGTAAATTATGTAATTTTGATAATGCAGAAGTATATGGCTGGTAATTTTCTATATTCTACTATAGTATAATATAGTTATTAAAAATATTTTTTATATATGTAAATGCAAAATCTAAAATTTTTTATATATTATATGTAATATTTGAATATTACTTATAATTATTTTACATATGATCCTATTTTATAATATATTTCTTCCATATATATATTTAGATTTAAAATCATATACTGCTTTAAATAAAGTTAAAACTTGGATTCCTTTAAATTTTTTATTATTCAATTGAAATAAATATAGGTAAAGCAAATATAAAAAATCTGATTTTATCAGAAATTTAGTATTTTTTTTTTTAAACCTCACTTATAGGACAAATTATTTTAATTATTCCATTACATTTTAATTAATCATTCAATTCAATACTAATATTCAAATAACAGCTCTAGTAATTTTATAAATAATCCTCCTAATAATATAAATAATCCATCTATTAACAATCAAAACATGGCCAATAAAAATTATAGTTAAATAGTCTTTTAAATTTTATTTTCAATTAATAACAAAATATTATCAATTTATTAAAAATTATCCTTGTTATTATTTATAATAAATTATATTTTTCTTATTCTAATTTATGTTCTAATTTTTGTTAAAAAAAAGCTGAAGATAAAAATAATATTTATGTAAAAAAAAGAGGTTAGCTAATAAGTAATATTACAAATTTATCTTATTATGATGTTCTCATTAAAAAGAGTCAATGAAAGGAAATAAAGCAATCCAAAATATGAATATATGGATGATAAGAATAAAGAGAAAAAGAGTATAGTAAATATGAAGGATTTTGAATATGAAAAAACCATGTGAGGTTTATTTTATAAAGAGATTGAAATTAACTCATTAATACCACAAAGTCCAGTTAATAAATATAATTTAATAATAAAGTACATTATGCTATAAGGAAAATTGTCTGAAACTAAACAGAATAAACTTATATAAGAGACAATTTAACAATCTTTACAAATATTAGAGGATGATAAATATTTTAATAAAGCCTTTGAAATGATGGAAATTAGACTTTAAGTATGGATATTTTATTATTTAACCATATTTTACAGCAGAAATTTTATATAATATTCCCTTATTGATTATTATCAATCATTTAAAATGTTTTACATATCAAAGGTTGAAAACTACTAGCAAAAATTTTAAAAATGAATTACATGAAATAGATAATAAAATATTAAAATTAATTCTTCTATAAGACTATCTTATACATTTTTCAAATGCTTCAGGAAAATTTCTTGTTTGATAGGAGTTATATTATATGTAATAGCCTATAAAATTCTGGTTCAGCTGTACTTTTATTTAGTTTATTCTTATGAATTTTATTATTTCGTACTGGTAGTATAGCTAGGGAAGTTTGTTTTTTATTTTGTAGTAATATAACTACAATTTGATTTTTGAATCATTCCTTAGTTTTTGCATTTTGGATATTTGGTTATTCTTTTTCTTCATCTGATTTGTTTTAAGTTTGCTGATTTGTATAGATTTGTATCTCTGGGCATCAATTTTTGCAATAGTCATCATCATACTTCTTTAAACTTCCGTTGTATCCAGAATGGGTCCATTTATACAAATCCTCAAATTATTTATTCTAATGTAAACCTTTGTTGTAGTCTTCTAATACAAAATATCATACCAATTTCCTATAATATGGCAAATATCATTCATAGCATTAAAGCTTTTCTCACCAACATCATTTTCTGCTTTTATTTTAAATATTCACAAACTTTTGCACCATTCATAATAATTTGTGTGCCACGGATCTAGTAATAATTAAGTTTAATATATCTAAGTATCTCTATTAGACCAAAATATACATACTTTTTTTTATACTTACAGTATATATAGTTACTTTGCTCCACAAATCTTCAGGAACGTTTGAACATTTATATGAACCATCCAAGTAACATCATTAGGATCTATCCTTTCATTAGGATCTATCCTTTTTTTTTCAATACATTTTCCACTTTGTTTGAAAAATTTTTGCGAATTTTAACAAAGGATAAAAAAGAATATAAGTCAAAATTATTCATTATAGGAGAATTTATCAATAAAAATGGATCACAATTTTCAATACATCGATACATATTAATTATGTGCTATTTTTATCGGTGAATAGTGATCATCACCGGTCTCATGTGATTGCAATTTTTTGGCCAGCCTTACAGCCTTACAGCTTTACGGCATTACAGCATTATAGCATTACAACATTAGGAAAATTAATCAAATAGGGAGCGAGACCACTGGTGATACGATTGATACGTGGTAATTTTCTTTCAATAAAAGAATGTGTAATAATAAAAGAAAGTGTAATAATAAAAGAATGAGTAATAAATATATTTTAAATAAATAAGAATATATCCATGAAAATAATATAATTGAAATAAATAATAAATTACATTATATCTTCCAATTGCCGTTAAGCCATTTGTAACTGTATAAGCCGTTTTTAAACCGAATCTAAAAAAAAAAAAAATTCTTAATTAAGTAAAAAATGATTCTTTACAAATTGGTAATCCATATAATTTAGTCTAAAAGTTGGGGAAACTGATTTTAAATGTTGTCAATAAAAATTATTGGACAATCGGAAATTTTGAAAACTTTAATTTTTTTATTATTGAGTGTGCGCAATTGGGCAATAATTATTATTTTTTTTACGGGTTTTTTTTTGGGCAAAAAAAAAAAAATAAAAGCATTTTATTTGTCAAAAAAGCTGTATCACATAAAACGCATTGACCTTATCTAAAAAAAAAATATGAAGCTAATAAATTCTTAAAAAGAATAGACAAAATTTAAGACATTGTTAAATAATTTTTGACACATGTCAAACGAGAGAAATTATGGAAATAATTTGCATATTTATTTATCATTTAAAGAAAAAAAGGGGGGGATTATTATTATTATTATTATTATCTTTTTTTTTATTGGTAAAATTGGTAAAAAAAAAAAAAGTTGAATGAAATGTTATAATCAGATTGTTTCACATATGAATCTCATTCGACATTCAAACATTTTAGGAAAAAAAAATGAAACCAAAAACGCGTCTTTATAAATATATCAATAAACATATATATGTATATATATTTATTACAATTATTATCATTTTTTCTAAAAATATCTACAAAAAAAAAATTCTAATTTAAAAAAGAAACAAAAGAAAAGAAAAAAAAGAAAAGAAAAGAAAAGAAAGTAATCTAAATTGAATGAATATATTTATATTGAAATGCAAAAAAAAAAAGAAAAAGTAAATACAAAGAAGTTAATATGAAACAAATAATTATTTTATGTTAATATGATATTTATTGAAAATCTTTTTTGGAAGGTCCAGGATTAAATATAAGAGAAACCACGTGAGATTGAAAACGGTGAACAATAAAGCCTTTGTTATAAAACTTTGTTTACGAATTTTATGGCGACAAACTAAATATAAAAAAATTCACGTAATGAGAAAAAATCAATTTCAAACAAGTAAACAAATGTAAAAAAATATGAACTTACCAAACATACTAAGCCATCCACCAAAAACTCCTATAATTTGATCATATGTTAAGAATATAATAAAAATAAATTAATCATTAAATTATCATTATTTTTTACCTGTTGTCCATAACCACCATAATAATTCGCGTTCAGGTGTTCTCCAATTATGAAGTTTTGATTGTTGTTTATCAAACCAGAAAACGAACCATGTTACTACATTTATAACAACTATTGGGGGAGCTACTGTTTGAACTCCAATTACGAACGCGACTAATAAAAGGGGGAAGAAATTTAGGCCATTTCTCGTTCGGTTTACGCGCAAGACTAAAGAATTAATTACCTTTAGAATCATAATAACCATGTCTTCTACCTAAAAAATGTAAAAGTGTTGTTGCTTTTATAACTTGAAATCCGAGCCAACATGTTAACATTACGCGAAAAGTTGGAAGAATATTCGTTCGCGCCACTTTAGTCATTTTTAAGTTTCGTTTAATAAAAATTTTTGAGATTTTATTTATTTATTTATTTATTTTTTTTGAAAAAAAAAGTGAAAAGTCTGTCTTTTTTTTTTTTATCTCTAAAATTGATAGCGAAAATCTCAAGCTTTTATAATAAATGAACAATTAAAAATTTTTTTTCCTTCCTTATTATTAGATCAATTTAATTCCCTTACGATTCAACAAATTAAAATCAAGAAAATATAAAGAACAATTATGATTAAACATTAATGTAAATAAAAAAATTTTTTCAAACATAACATTTATGCATAAAATTTACAATAAAATAAAAAAATTCCTTAATTGAATCTAAAGAAAAAAAAAAAAAA